TAAAACAGGAGTCTCATCATCACAGCACCCCCTAATAAGGGTTGACCAGAATGTCCGACCCTGCTCTTCGTACTCGCGAGCGAGTCGAGCTACCGAAGCGCTGTGGCTTCGAGACTTGTTCCTTGGATCCGTGGCACGAGCAGCAATCTCGACGTCGACGTCCACGAGGCTGAGCTGACCAGTTCTTAAGAACTGGTCCATGGCTCCATTGGCTTTCATTGGGTCCGCCTTGGTGAGCACATCGACGACCATTTTTTGATGGGGGACCCACCGCACCATAGAACGAGTTTCTTGCAAATCTCGAACTATTATCGCGAGTTCCAAAGCGCTCCGCCTGTCTTGCTTGCCTTGTGGATGTTCTTTCATGATGCAATCATACAGGCTTTTCGCATCCGTTACGGAACACTGCGGCTGCCTCTCAGGGGCGTGAAGATCACCCTTCATGACAACCATGTGCGGGCTCAAGGAGTTCCTCCACTGTCTGAGCTCCACGTCGTGCTGCACGGCGTCCCTCACCATGATCTGAAGCCAGTCCGCCTCCGAGATGCCTTGGAGCATCGCCTGGGTCTCTCCGCCGAAGGTGGAGAAGACTTTTCGTCGAAGCTTACTACTGCGCCAGGCCAGGGGGCTGGCTCTCACCTTCATGTTCCCGAGGGGAAGGGCTTCTGCTGCGAAGACCATCCAGGCTCCTTGGGTGCTGTCTGCTGGGAGGTCCAGCTCGTCGGTGGTGTCATGCTTGGCCCCGATCCCACCTGCGTCCGAGACAACAACGAATGCCATCTCCCGGGCGTCCATCTTCCAGATGGTGAGTGGGCGAGCCGCGGTGTTCCTCAGGAAGTTGATGTTCTTGTTCAGCACCAAAACATCCTCAATGACAGCCGACTTGAGCTTGCTGGCAAGGATCGATGCCATGCCCGCGACCTCAGGGCGTGTTTCCTTGGCCACCCAATTCACCTTGTATATCGCCGAGCGAAAGGCTTCAAACTCCTCGCTGTTCAAAGGGTCCTGCTTGCAGGACCTCCGGTGCTTGGCGAGGGCCACGGGTCGCACTTGTTCGGTCAGGTACTTCTCCTGGTCGATGTGAATGAAGCCCGGGTGAACCTTGATCATCCTGCCCGCGTACTCAGCTTCATTCTCCTCCCACTTCCCAAAAGTGAAGCGGGCCTGGAATGCCTCCTTAAGCTTGCTCTGGAGCTCCGGCAGGGCCGTCACGATGAAATCGTCCACTTCAATGAGCACCTGAGCTTCGTTGGCGCCGTTGTGATCAAACCT